GCTGCGTCCTCTTCAGAGCTCCCGTACCTCCACTGCTGTAGCAGACGGGATACAAGTCCCCATCCCGGTTTCCAGTCAGCACCAACTGGTTCTGTACGTATACTTTCGCCTGTCCGCCGCCGAAGACCACACTGCCTCCACGATCATCAATGATGCGTACCGATATGATTTTGGCGGTGGCCTCCTCGTCGACGTAGACCTTCTTGAAAGTGATGGCCTGTTTATCGTTGACGTTAGACCGAATCGTAAGCGTGCCAACTTCAGTCGGTCGAAGAGATTGTCCCTTGATGCCCATGATGTTGAAGCGCTCCCACGGCTCCAACAACCGCACGTTGAAAAGTTCTGAGCGGTCATGCGTTATGTGGTGAGTGGCGGCTGAGTCCAGAAACCATTCCGTCGGACGATTGCTGTTGCATGCCACGAATGCTACCTGCCGCGGAACTCCTGGCCCCCTAGCTGATCCACCGGATCCTGGCTTGCTGCCGCTAGCTCCGCTGCCACTACCTCCGTTACCACTGTTGCTGTAGCCACCCTTGTAGCCAGAATTTGACGACTGCTTCAGCGCCTTAAGCTGCCTGCAGTCCTTAACCACGTGCCCAGGTTTATTACAGTAGTAGCAGATGACTTGCTTCCGACTATGTCCCGAGCTGTTGTTAGCCGGCCCCCGGCTACCATAACCAGAAGTAGAAGCGCCGAACGTCGAACCGCCGACAGACGCGAAGGCTGCCGACTCGGTAGGCTTGCCCGACCCACCGTTAGCTGTCTCGATAGAGAGAAGCTTTGCTGTGACGCTCGCCATGTCCAAATCGCCGTCGCGCATAAGTAATGTAGTCGTCACCACGCTGTACCGACTGGGTAGACCAACTAGCACGGTGTACGCCAGCTCGGAGTCGTTAACTACGTGGCCGACTCCCAATAAATCTGTTTGCAGCTGCCTTGCACGCGCAAAGTACATCGGAAGAGGTTCGCCGTCGACCATCTTAAAACGGCTGAATTCTTGACGTAGAGACACCTTGCGGGCGTTGTTGTTGGCAGCAAACATAGATCCCAAGGCGTCCCAGGCCTTCTTCGCGTTGGCAGCACCGGTAACCATCGGCAAATGATGATCCTTGACGTTCTTGATGAGCAGATTGATGACCTTCCGTGACTGTCGAATTTGCTCCTCGTTGC